GCACAGGCATTTCCTTTGACTCCTGTTGCTCTCCCTGTGTGGAAACTGTCCTACGTAGACAAGCCCTGACAATCTGTCCTGCCCATAGAACAGTTCGTGGTGCCTCCCATTTTATGTCAGCTCCCCAAGTCTCCCCTGTGAGAATGGCACCTGGGTCCTCCTTCAGTGTGATGGACACACTCTTCTCATCAACACTGAACTCTGAGTCTTGACGCTAAGTCTTCAGGGTCCCACTTTGCAGACTGGCTCCCCAGAGACCACAGTCAGACCCTTTGCCAAGACTTCTGAGACTCTCCTTGCTCTCGTCCTCTCACTGATCACCCCTTCTCAGTGCAATGCCAAGAACAAGAGCTTCACCAGCAGATAGGTCTATATTTTATCCCTACCTCTGCCATTACTATTTCTGTGACCTTAAACCAATGACTTCGCACTCCTGTAGCAAGACATCTCCTTGCCTTCTTCTTAGGCAGGGAGAGTAAACGGCTATAACACACAGATTCCCCAATTATAATGACTTAAACACAACAAGGCAGAGAGTGCAAGTTGGTTTCCAGTCAGTAGAGGGATGCTATGCCATTGGCGATATGTGGTTTCCAAGGTCACAAGGCATCAGTGGTTTCAGGTAGTAGAAGGGGAAGTGCAGATGGGAAATCTGCATGTTCTTCTCAAAGGCCCTGGCCCAGGAGTGGTGCAGTCATGTTCTTTCACAGTCTGTGGACAAGCACTAGTCATAAAGCCATGCAGGGGTGGCAGTGAGAGCTGGGAAAGCCACTCTTCAGCAACAGCTCTGAGGTATGGAAAGAGAAACAGGAATCTTATTGATGGCTGTCTCTGCCCTATGCCAGGCTAGGTTACTTAGGCTACTATTAAATGTAGTATTAAGTTATGAGCATGGGCTGAATTTGAATTTTCCTCTGCCACTCACTAGTTTTGCAGTGATGAACAGGTAATTTAAACAACCAGGGCTTTAGTTTCTTCATCTTTAAATGGAAACATTTTGGTACCTACCTGATGGAATTGTTGTGAGAACCGAATGAGGGAAGTCAGAAAGAGAACTTAGGACAGAACGCGTCACCTGCAACTACTCGATGCATGTTAGTGGTTTTTAGTTCTCAACCTGCTTTGAGTTCCTGTTAAGACTCGCGATTGAGGCTGATGATAGAATGAGATATTTATTTCCTTTTGATGGCTTTTGAAACAGAGTGCTTCTGTACTTAATGGCGGCCTTAGTAATAACAATGCCCACTTCTTGAGGTCATAAACAATCTAAAATTTTAAACACAGATTCAAGGAAAGAGGCAGAGACGGAAACAGGGCAAGGAGGAGTAGAGAGACTGGCCGTCGGCCTGGCTGACTCTCTCTTGGACTGTGCAGCCCTGGAGGCTCCTTCTGCCCCGTCTTTCTTCTTTCCGGTCTCCTCCGCAAGGTCAGACTGCCTCTCCGCTCCCTCCGCTGCCTCCCTCACAGGCCTTTCCCCTACTAAATCTCTCACACGTTTAATCCCAGCGTGACATCTGCTTCTCAGAGAACCCAAACTAACACACAAAATAAACATTTCACATGTACGCACTCGACCTAAAATGAAGCTGTCCCCAGTTGTCCTTACTCAAACCACAGGAAACCCTCTCCCCAGTTTTGTGTGACTTTGCTTAAAGCTACACTTCATTTATAGGGCCAGTGGCCAGTTTTCTACACCACTTCATGCTCCCTTCCTTAGAGTACAGCTTATAAAATGTGTGGAAAGAAGATGGGAAAACCCGCCTACTGCTGGGCCTGATGCTTTAGGAACATAAAACGTGTCAGCTTGGGGCAGGGCGGCACAGGGACGTGTTGGAGCAGAGTCTGCTGACTCTGTGGCAGTGTGTTTTGAGCACCTGCTGGCACTCTGCCAGGTGCTGGGACAACAGAGACAAGGCCGACTTCCTGCCCTCAGAGTGCTCACAGTCTGGCCTCAGGGGACAGACAGCTAAACAGGCAGCTGCGACTCCACCTGATGAGTGCTGGGAGGGGAGGGATAAGAGTAAAGTCTGAGGAAGTGCAAGGGAGAATCGTTTACAAGGAACAAGGTAGGACGGCTACCTAGGAAAGGTGAAAACGGAGCCGGAGCCGCATTTCAGAGGTGAAGTCAACGTTCCCATAGGCAGAAGGGGGGAATGGCAGTCCAGGTGGAAAAGCAGCTGGGCACACAGCATAGAGAAGGGCTAGTCATTTTACCTGGGGGGGCAAGTGGGCCGAGGTGGGGGTCTGGGCAGGAGCCAGCTTTCTGTGCTCTCCAAGGGTGAGAACTTTGAAAACTGCTCTAGTGTAAGGGGATTGATGCCATCATAGGGCTCACAGAGCTCATTGGTATTGTCACCAGAGGAATGGTGGCGGTGTGCCCCGACATCTGTAAAGTCTCTTAAAACCATGGTATGGATTCATCAGCAATGGCTTCATGAAAATTACACAGAGTGGAGAATATATTTTTTTCAAATTTTAATCAGCACCTCTTGGTGACTCAGTTTGCTGTCTTTTATTTGTCCTGAAAATATATCCATGCAGCCTCAAGGGATGGAGGAGGTGTAGTGCAGGGTACATGGGCAGACACTCGCATCCCAGGCTTCCTTAATGATTCTACATGCAACTGATCCTTTACAAAAATAAAATAAAACCATGCATCCAGCCACATGCCCCTTTAGCCCTTACCATTATATGTTGAAGAGTCCTGCTTCTTTCTCCCCTCGCTCTTTTCTTCTTCCTCACTTACCTTCCTCCTACTTCTTTGGTGCCCTCTCTCCACAATCAGAGACAGATGGTTTCTGGCTTTGGTGTCCCATGGAGGTGTGAAAAGGCTCTTTGCCCTGCCTGTGCTTTCTTCACATCCGCCAATCCATCCACACTCGACTACCACCTTCCAAACCTTTGACTTTCAGTGGAGCCTGGCTGTGTGGAAACCTGACCCCTGTAACGTCCCCTCCCGCTGCATGGACACGCCCTACCCACAATACCTTGTCTCTCTCTCACTGCTGCTGAGAAGAGCCTGCCCCAACCCAGTTCTATAAAAGATCACATAATACACAGTTCAGTGCAGCAGCTAAGAACTCCAAGCTGCCTATTGCTGCCCAATGACATGAGGTGCATTTCTTACTCCCTCTTCCGTGGCCTTTCTGGGTAAGCTGACCCAGAACAGCTTTTAAAGCTCCCCTGTGAGAACTTGATGCTGGATGACTGCCCCCAAATAGGGGGTTTAGTTAGTTCTTTCAAGTTAAATCAGCCTCGTTAGGGAAAACCAGAAGTATATAAAAAGCTCTGTTTACCCGTCAAGAAACAAGAGATAGTTGGTTTTATCAGTGACATGCTTTTAAAATAGCAGACACTTTATATGTAAAAATATTGTTTCACTTCCACTCACCTTTTCCAGGAATGTATGTATTATGCAAAGCAAGACACACCTGTATAGTTTCTGAAGGATACAGGTCCTGAATATTCTATTGCTACTTCATTCTTCCACTACTGAAAATAAATGTGTTAAAGACTCGCCATACATGGGGATATTTTATTTTAAGCTAATCGGACACAAATAATTTTAATTTGGGTTATGATCCAAATGAAGCCATAAGCGAACTCTTATTTTAAGCCAAATCTGTCTGTGTAAGTGGCCCCACCAAATTTTTTTCTGCCATTGAAGAGCGTGCTCCTTCTCACCCTTTTGGATTCTGCTAGCACAGATATTCTTTAAAAAACAGGTAGGCTTCTCCCGTCTATGTGGTTCTTCTTTGTCTGCCAGGTGCTGTTGAAGGGCAAAGGGCATTTGAAAGCATTGGTCTTCACATAATGCTACCACCTTGCTCTTAGCTTCTTCCATCACCACATGAAAGTTGCAGTTAAAAAACACACATCAAAGAGCGAGTCCCATTGAAAAGGCGAGCGCTGCCTGCTGAGCTGGCATTCAGAGCCGGGCTTTTGTTTCAGTGGCGACTCTGACTCTCTTCCAGCGAGTTTCCTGTTAACTCTGGTGTGGGTTCTGACTTGCCCTTGATGATATTGGAGTGTGTGTTTGTGGCACTCACTTTTAATCAGTGCATTTGAGTTTCTGAGGCAAGAACTTCTTTCTCCAGCAGGTTGAAACTTTTGAATGGAAACATCATGTTTGGCCAGATTTGTGCTTAACCTGGGGATGTAAGTTTTAAATCTGGGTCCCCAAACGTACCACGAATTTCAGGAAGGGAGGCTTTGGGAGTTTTTTGCTTTTCATTGATTGTTGGGTAAATATGCCCATCTTTTGGAGGGAGAAAGGCTTCCATGAAGGGGCGTTCTGTGGGGTCATGGTGAGAGGCAGGATACAGTTGGCTGTCTGTATCCAACTCAATTCTCCCTGTCTTGCCCCATCTCCCTGTTCTGCCTGCAGGCTAGAGGGTGTGAAGCCCAGCCACTGATCTGCAGCCAGTGGACACCTGCCGCAATTCAGAAGGCTGGGCTAAAGTGGGAGTCGCATGACTCACGGAAATTTACAAGTCTCTGATAACTTTGTAGTTATCACTTATGGGCTTGCCTGGCTAGCCATTGCTGGTTCATAGGACCCTCACCTGCTGTGTCCCTGCTAGCAGGCTGCCATTTGTCAAGCATCAACGTCCAGGATTGCAAAATATCATTTGTTAGGTGACAGCCCAATTGTGAATGAGACAAAGCATGTCTTTCCCAAACTTGCTGTTTTTCCTCCTTCACCCTCCTCTTCATTCTGTCCCCATTGAACTTCAGACCCCTTTCACTCTGCAGACACAGCAGGTTCCTGGGGCTCAATGATGAGCTTAGCTTGGCCAGTACTTTTCGCAGTTATTCCACAGAGAGCCTTTTCCTGACTCCCAATCCCCACCCTGCTCAAAGAGAGCAGTGCTTCTGTTCTTACGTGGTTTTTTATATATTGGACATTTATGAAGAATTAAAGCTTGACTTAAGGAAAGAAATCTACTGCTGGAATATCGGAAGTTTACCCATTCTATTTCAACGTTCTCATTTTACAGATAAGAGAAAATGACTTCTACGATAGTATTGGGGCTCTGAACACAATACCCCGAAGGGCAGCGCCTTGGCATGCTGAGTATTGTTGAGCTGAAGGAGACAGGAGGGCCTCAGGAGCAAGTAGGTGTCTCTGATCTTCTGGCCTCCTGTCTCCCGCTCCTTTCTCTCCTCCAAAACAGGCCATAAAACCTAGAAAGCTCATCTCTGACCAACCTCCCCTGAAAGTGGACATAAGACGTTCATGTACCAGGTGTCCTGCCCTGTACCAGATGGAAAGGAATGCTGCACCGAGGGGCCAAGAAGAATCTGAACAAACATATTATGCTGGGTTTTCCCCTCAGTTTATTACCATTAATTCGATCCTACCTTTTTTGTCTAACCATGTTTCTCCACAGCTGTCCTTTTTTTTTTTCATCAAACTTAGCATAAAAACACAGTTTCCCCTGGGTTTGGGGGTCATTATTTCTGAAGGCTCTCATGTCACATAAAACTTTGTTTAATAAATTTGTTCTGCTTTTCTGTTGCTAAATGTCTTTTGTCTTAGGAATGTTGACCATGGCCCTTGTGATGGGTTAGGAGAGGTATTATCCCTTCACCCCTATAGTGGTTATGGTTCTTTTTTTTTTTTTTTGGTTATGGTTCTTGAACAAGTTAGTTTGGGGACTGAGTCTGAATTAGAACTCAGATTTCCTTAAGTTATTCTTCTGTGTATTTTCATTTACATCATCCTGTGCAAAATATTTGCTCTCGTGGGGCTTTTACAGGTTGAAAACAGTCACGATGTAGATTCATCTTCAATGGTAGATTTTAACAAACTCCATAAATGATCTTTAGTCCTAAGCTATCAGATGGAGAGTCCGTGTGCTTGTACGTGCAATGGTGGCTTCAAAATTCTCTTAGAAATCGAAATTGCAAGGTATCTGCTGGACTCCTGCTCTGCCCCCAAGTAGAAGCAGCCCTGGTAGTTCTTCCACCTTTCTGTGGCAAAAATCACAAGGATTTGCCATGCTGGTTAAAGTCCATTGTCTTCTGTGAGAACTTTAATTCAGTAATAGCTTCTGTCTGCAGTCTTTATTATGCCTCATGAGAAAATTCAGGGGCTTGTTCCTGAATGAGTAACACGAGCAGGCTTGTAGTTCTCCAGAACACCTTAAGTTGGCTCCACAATCTCAGATTGCACTCAGTGTACATAAAACTTCTCTGAGATTTCCATAAATATTTCTACCATCTAAATCTTATTTGGATTCTTTTCTTCATTGCTTCTACACGAATCCCTCTCTCCTTAGTGATACCTTCATGAAGCGACCTAGTTCTCCTCTTGGGTAGCAGTACTGACAAGAATGTCAAATTTCTACCTGTCGAAGAAAAAGTGTCATTATAAGGCAAAATGGATTTGCAGCCTACCTTATAGAAAGACACGCTGCTTTCTTGAGAAATTGGGGTGTTGCTTTGAGATTTTTGTTGCTATTGCTAAGGTTAATTGTCCACAGAATGGTCTTTCTATACATCCATATAATGCCTTATTGATTTATAAAGTATTATGAAATATATTATTTTATTGAATTCTCAAAGCCAAACTGCCAGGCGACTGAAGCAGATGGAGCCAGAGTATCTGTACCCTCAGTCACCCTTTAGGGTGGGAACCCATGTTTTCTGACTCCCCGATACCAGATTCCACATGCTTGGGAAGCAGTCACATGCTGGAGAACTTGGGAAGGGGATAGACTTGCTAGCAGTTGCGTGAAAGCTGCAGCTATTGCACTACTCCCAGTGTCCAGCAGGAGGCAATAGAGTTAAAGTCAGCTTTCCTTCCATGCAAACTTAACTAGCCCTGCCTCCCCGCAGTCCCTTCTCACCACTCAGGAGCCATTTCTCCTCCACTTCAACCCTTCCTTCCCTATTTTTCTGACCTTCCACCTTATCAACTCTTGCTTTTGTGTGCAGAGATGGTACACCCTTTGGGGACTGATGCTAATGTGTAAATTTTGCCTAATAGCTTACCTGTCTCTTTATTCATTCCTTTAAAAATATTTAATCAGCTTCTCCTGTGTACCAGACGCCAGGTAGCAAGAAACAGGATAGAGATACAATGTTGAACAAAACAGGCACAGTGTCTGCCCCATAGAGCTTACAGGCCTGGAGTTAGGAAACATGTTCTGTCACTCAAGGGTTTTGCTTGCAAGCAATAGACTCTAAAATTGGTTGACTAAAGCAAAAATGGAATTTATAATTGCTTTCAGAATCAATGGGAATCTTAATCACCAAGTTCCTATTTCAGAAATAGGCACAATTTAAGGGAGGCTAGGAAGGAGGGCCACATAGCCAAGGGCCTGCTGCAGGAACAGTCTGGGCGATGTTTGCCACTACCACTGCTGTCCTGGAAATTTGGTGCCATTGAAGCCCCATTCTCTGTCACCTTGAATAATTTCTCAACCATCTCTGTGTCTTTGCTTTATTTCCTTCAGATTTAAAATCTTGAGTGGGAGCTACAGCCTACGTTCTAGCTGCTAGCGGTGTGAAAGGGGGTATCTTGGCCCTTCCCCTCCGTAGTGGGAGGCAAGACTCTTCTTTTCAACAACACACTCCTGCTCTTGGCACTATATTCTTTTGCAATTGTGAGAGGCCGTGGGAATCATGATAAGAGTTTAAAAATATTATGCTAAGTGCAACAGGAAACCACTGAAGTGCTTTAAGGTAAAAAGTGATCTGATGATTGGTTAGGACTCAGTCACATGGGGATCCAACTGCAAAGGATGCTGGGAAAGGTAGTCTGTGTGTCCAGCAAATCGAGGGAACAGGTTGGAATGAACACCTAGCAACCTGTAGCATATAAATAGCTTAAAATTTACAGGCAGAGAAGCTTATAACAAAAAAGTAAATATTGAAACAAACTCCCACATCCCAGGCCCTAGCTAGTACTCAGAGTCAAGCAGCTCAGATCATGTGACAGCAAGCACAATTCTACCCTTAGCTCAGTGCAACATGCATAGTAGGAGGCAGGAGGAAGTATCACATTACAGATTGTTAAAGTAATTCCAGGTCAAGTATCCAGAGTTCAGTGAGGTGTGTCACAGCCATTTGGGTGGAAGCATCGAAGTATCCCCATCACTACAGGGCAGGATTTCTCCATCCTGGCACTACTACATTGGGTAATTCTTTGTGATTGTCAACGGCTTTCCTGTGTGTTATAAGAAGTTTAGCAGCTTCCCTAGCCTCTATCCACTGGGTAGACAGCAATACTCCTCCCCCTAGTTGGGACAATCAAGTGTCCCCTGACATTGCTTGTGTACCCTCGAGGATGAAGTCACCCCTGGTTAGGAGTCACTGCCAGCGAAGTTGAACCTGGGAGACCTGGAGAGAGGAAGGTAGATCCTGTTGCTATGAGCTGCAGACAAAGGCGCCACTGAGCTTTAGGTAAGAAATCCCCTTAGCTGGAGTTGTAGAGAAAGAGGAGAATGTGAAGGAATCATATTGATGGGGTGGTTTGGTGTAAAAGACTGGGTTAGGTGCTTTGTACTACCGTTTCATTTTAAGATCAAGGAATGGCCTTCTCCATGACTCCCACCAATACTGTCCTCCATGTATCACCTCTGTCACATCTATTAGTAAGAAACATGCTAAAACTTGAACAAAAGTTGGGAGTTTGAGGATAAAGAGAGCTGGGTATCAACTTGATTTATCTGCAGTAGCCCACACCACCTTTTTTTTTTTTTTTTACCTGAAGTGCAGCCCCCTGGTGGATAAAGATTTACTCTACATCTCTGATTCAGCTGCCCTGTGGAGACAGAGACATTAAAAAAGAATTAAGAATGAAGACAAGTATATTGATCTCCCTCACCAATCTCCTCTAACCGATACCTCTTAATCACAGAACAAATTGGAGTCCTGGTAAACTGCTTTAATGAGCATCCATTCTATTTCTCAGTTCACATGATTGGAAGGGAAGCTACCTTCCTGCCTCCCTACCTCGTTTCTCTTTATTTGTGTTTGTGATTCATTCTCTCATGCCACATCTATATTTCATTTTATGTATACATGCATATATATTTTTCACATTTTTATCTGTGTTTTGCTATAGCACTGGAGGTTTATTATTGTGAGGCACCTGAATATTTTCCAAGACAATGAGCCTCTAGAATCTTGGTATCCAAGGAACTAATTTTGTGCAGCAAGAAAAAAAAAAAAAAAAAAAAGGAAAGAAAAGGAAAACAGTAACTATACATCTGGTTTCTAGACAGTATTAGGATGGCATAACTTGTTCCCGTCTGAATGAATTCAGTGGATTTGTATTATCCAGTGCCTGCTTAAAACGTGTAGTCAAATCAGAGCAGTTCTTTAAATTAAAAACAAACCCCATGGCTTTCACAGCACCGTGTGCCTCGTATTTGCAACTCTGTTCAGGTGAAACAAACTCTTATCCCAAGAGAATGGGCAGGCAGGAGAGCTCTTAGTGCACAAGCATAAATTTCTTCCTCCTTCCAAATGATATTTTATAAAATTGTAAAGGAAATTGACACCCTAAAGTGCCTGGGTAATGCCGTGTCATAAACTCCGTACTGTAAATTGGAGAGCTGGGGTAGGCTGTGTCCTGAGTAGCAGGCTACACACCCAGTAACCAGGCCCATGTTCCCAGGCCTGTTCCTGGCTTTGTGTCACCCAGGGGAAATCAGTACTTTTGCCAGAGCCTGGATTGCCCATCTCCAAAGTGTGGATATACTTTTCACCGCACCCCCCCCCCAACTTTCTCTGTCCGCAGCTTTAACTTGCATTGTTAGTATTCAGAAAATACATGAGCCAATGTTTATGAAACACTTTGAAACCCTAAGTAAAATAATCTTATGCAAGCCTAAATTGTTATCAGCTGTATTGTTATCCTTATGGTACAATGTACATGCTGTTGCATATTCGCAAATTACATACAGTAATTACCTGAGTACATACAGTAATTCAAGTACCATCACTAGTACTTGACATTAGTCTTTCACAGAAACTTGCAGGGCAATAAATAGTACTGGGATGCTTTCCCTTGACAGTTGAGTATTTACTGGGGGGGGGGGCCTAGGGATTTGTTAGACACTATTATAATTAAGAGAGTTTTAAACCTTATCTGCTAGGGACTTCTTAAGGTTTGATATCTTCTGTTTGGCAATTGTCCTATGCTGTAAAAAGTTCCCAGAATATTAAAGATTTAAGAAACATTCCAGTCCATCTCCTTTGATGTCCCCATTTTGTAGATGAGGAAACTGAGGCCTAGAAATATAAAGTGACTCTCCCAAAGCTGTGTAGTTAATGTATTAGAACTAAAACCCAAGTCTCTGGATTTCCTGTTTATTGCTCTTTCCATTACCCTGCACTACATTTCTTTTCCACAAAGTCAGAAAAGAAAAAAACAATGAGTTTGGCTTGGTTATGAGATTCCTCAAGAGTGGCAGAGCCCAAGTTTGTTAGGGGTTTAGAAGACTTCCCCATGGAATACCCTAAAAGGGTAATTAAGGTTGACAAGAAAAATGGAAATCAAAATGTGGCCCATAGGTTACAGATATTGATGGCATGATTAGAGGACTACAGGGTGGACTTTCGCTAGACAGCCGTGGCATCATCCTCTAGTGTGAATTTGTACTCCTGTTTCTCTGGGAGGCAAGTAGGCAGGCTCTGTTTTCTATCACATTTACAGCTGGGATATACATCAAGATTGCCAATTCCCAGCACTTAGTTGATCCTTTCCATAGGAAACACCACAGAGTTGGCTGTTGATGACAGTGGAGGTGATTATTTGGGAGGGCCCTGGTGGAGGAGTATGGCAGCCCCATCACTGCCCGTGGAACAGTGGTCCCTACCTACTGTGTGGAGACATTTATGGTTGACAGATATTCTTCAGGTGGTTCATGGGCTTGTTTTTATCCTACTAATGTTTTCTTCATAATACAGAATTGTTTCTGGCATGAATTAATAATGTGCTCATGATATTTAACATAACTCAGACAGTCCTGGTTTGCTTTTTCATCAGTGGCAATGCATCTTCCCATTTTTTCTGGTAAGGAATTCTTTCTTTCTAGTGGGTCATTCATCAGAGATCACTCCCATTTTCATAGGCTGAGATGTGAAAAGAAAGACTGATTTTTGGTAGAGAGATCCATATTATTCTTAGGAGCATGGAAGAGTAATGATACAGCATGACACTGAAGTATGGTATGGTATTTGGAAACTAGAGTAGAAAGTCATATCACCATATCAACTTATCCTGACTTACCTACCGAGTAGCTGGGTAATACAACAACTCACTTAACATTTCAGGGCCTCACCTTTCTCTTCTGTAAAATGACATAATTGGATTAAATCAATTCTAAAGCCCCCTCTAGTTATAAAATTATAGGAATATAAGTGAATTGAAAATTGATGGCACAATTTAGGAAGAAGCTTCCTGGGTTATGGAAGATATCATTGTAATTCTTGTGAAGCACATAAATTACAGCAAATGACCCTAGAGCCAGAGCCCTGACATATGGAAGCTTCCAAGGTGTGAGAGGATAGCTTTATTTTTATGCTGTACTCAAACCACCCTTTTCTCCCAAATGACAAAAATGTCTTCAGCCATAATTACCCATATTGGGTAATTATATATGCAAACATTGGCCATGATAAACTATATCAATGTTTCTTATACCATGCTATAGAATGATGCTGCACCATCTAAGTTCTTTCCTATGGGCCCAGGAAGACTGGGGAGGAGAAAAGAGGGTGGAGGGGAGGCAGAGGGAAGAACTGAGGTACAGGCTTCCTGATGTGGGTGTTTGGTTGTAAAATGTCCCTTAAAAAACATCTATCTGGTATTACTGAAAAATAATAAAACTGATGCTCACGTGGCCAATGGGATCCATCTCATTTTGTCATAGTCTCATTCCACGTACTCAAAAAACACACTGCAACCCAGTGAGGCAGCTCTGTGGTCTGCCACAAACTTAACAATACAGGGAATTTGCCCATTATTAGTTGTGGCCACAGAGTGTAATTTTTCATTGGGATATAGAAATCCTGTAACACAGGTGTTCTCTTATTGCTCAATTCAACCGCCATAAGATTCCATTGTGTGTGTGCCTCTAGCCCTGAGATTTGAGGAATTAAAGCAGTTTAGGGAGGCAATGTCAAGAAACCTCTCTTGTTTCTGCAAAGCCATCTTAATCATGCCTGCCTCTTTTCTTCAGGTTGATTTACATAGCAGTGTGACATTTCATCATTAAGGAAGCAGGTCCCAATCTTCTGTGTCTTTTTCTTGGCTTGTCTGGCAAGCAATTCTCTTTTGCAAGCTATGAAATCCTTAAGGAGGACTTCCTGGCAAGGGAAAAATCCTCAGTCATCCAACAGTCTCTCACTTTTCTATTTTAAATCTTGGCCATGCACATATGGTTGGGCATGTGTGTCTAAAAATTTCTTCCACATTGACTAACTTGAGCTATTTAATAGATTGTGCTGGCCGTGGGCCTCTGCAGCAAATCCTGTGATGCTCATCTCCCTCCCTTGGGAGGCAGAAGACAGCTTCATGCATTTGCCTTTGTGCTTTCCTTGTAATCTCCCTCTCTTGCCCTGTTAGAGCATGAAAGTTAAAACCCGCTTCTTTGCTCATTTTCTTGCGATTAACATTGTCCCTGATCTCCTACTTCCAGCAGAAAAGTGAGATGGCCAAATATCTTGGTTAATGTCCCCGCAACTATACATTCCCTAGGGCTTTGCTAGGGATGTTCAGACACGTTTCTAAGGACAGGAGAACTTGAGGACATTTCTACCGGCTGCTCTTTAAGACCCGATGGGTGTGTGTGTGTGTGTGTGTATATGCGTGTGAATATAATGTCTCTCAACCTCAACTTGCTCCCCCAAATTGGAATCGCTTATCTCTTATCAGTCCCAAGCACAGACCTGGGGCCGATTAGGTCCTCAGAAATGATAGTTAAAGTGAATTTGGAGACAAAGCCAGGTTCTGGCAACTTTGCTCCTTCTTCCAGGTTGTAGGGAATGAGGCCAAAGGAACACAGGAGGATGGTGGGGGCGTGCACCCTGAGCCGATCCCCAGCTGTGCCTCCTTCAGGCATGAAGCCCAAACCCCCATGGTTTTCTCAGCAATTTAGCAACTCAGAGAAACTGGCTAAATGATACCCTGTGATCCAAAAGAACGACTGCCCTGCCTGAAGGTGAACAATTCTGTCTTCCCAGAGGAGACTGTTCCTCAGAAGACAAAGAGCAATAATAACAATACCAACAACAAACTAATAATAATAATTGCAAGGGGGATGAGTAGTAGATTAAACACTGAGCGGCTTAGAAGCTTGCAGAAATTACCCACCCCCACCCCAACCCCCAGAAATTATACATTTTATCACATTCTGTGCCTGGGCTGTTTGGCAGTGTCTTAAAACTGTGCTGCCGTAAGAGTGGTGATATTATCCTCCTGCTGGGGTGGCCCCAGAAATTTCATTTTTTGCTGCATGTTAAATATGTTCCCTGAAGTTTATCACAAGCAGCATGAAGGAATAAAACTCCACGTGGCTGGTATTCGGTGGGTCTTTCCCCCCACTGAAATGACAAGCCCTTAAGTAAAAAAAGTCAGAAGGGTATGTGATAGATGGGGATACTGGGCTTACCTTCTTGGAGGGGTGCCTTGGCAGCACACATGGTTTCAAACTTTATATAAAAATAATGCTGCCGCAGTAAATGGGAAGAACATGTTGTCGTTTTTGGACTCCAGACAAAGGCAAGAGTAAACATGCATTAAAATGGAATCTCTATTTTTAACTTACCTTTCTCTTTCTAGAAATCGCATCAAAATCAGATGACACATAAGACTGCCTACCTTTTAAGGATGTAGCAACCTCCCAGCGTAATTCGCAAAATCATTACATTCCCTACTGCTAGTCAGATGTATAACGTCTGAAGACACCAGCAACTTTCCGTTTTAGTTTCTAAAATGTCAACTTTGTTACAGACTGTTGATTCATAATGCGTGTAATGCTCTTGCTTTGTTGTAATTTCTGGGATGAGGATATGTAAGTGGTGTGGCCCCCTATTTTCCTTTATCCCATTAACTTTCCCCACCTTTAGGGGAGCTTTTTCTTCATTTTGCAGCTCTGCCTTTGCTTATAGTTTGGTGCTTTCTAAACACAGGTGTGCCACCCAAGGGCATCGGCACCAAGAGCCTCCGAGGCACTGGGCATCACAGAAATGGGACACACATTCGCTGATTTCCTTTTAAAAGTGTAAGAGCAATTGTAGAAAGGACTCAGGGAACTGCTGCCTATAATGTTCCTTCTGCTGCACTTCTTTTACGCGCTCCGACAGAGAGGAAGGAACACCCAGGTAGTGAGTCCAAGATCAGGATTTCTCAACACGCCGGTTGGGGTCTGCTCATTAGGAAAGGCCAGAGGGCTGCGTAGGAGAAATGAGCACTGCCACAGAGTCTTCCTGAGGTCTTTCAGATCCTGCCATGTGAATAGCGGGTCCCCACATAGCCTTCGTTCTGGCCCAGGCAGTGTTGTGAGAGCTTTACACGCGCCCCCTTCTTTACACCTGTGGCCATGCTGTGAGACAGGAACTGTCATTCTCCTCCCTGTTTCACAGGTCAGGAAACTGAGGCATAGTGTGGCTATGTAACATGATCAGGTTACAGAGCAGAGTTAGGCCTTCTGGCACCAGAAGCCAAAATAACCACTCTGCTTTGCTACCTTCATGCATCAATCACACCCCATTGCGTTGATGGGAAGAAGCTTGTAAGCTAAATGACAAATGTTAAAATGCACTGTCCTTTGACTGCCAAGACAACAGACCATCTTCTTTCCATCAGTACTGCATGAGACTTAATTGTTATTTTTCCTCGTTTGCTTTGATTCTCACTGCTCACTTCCCAAGACCATCTTGGGGTCGTTAGCACCCTTTATTTTTCGACGCTTTCCCAGAAGTATAAAAATACAGTTCTTAGGCATAAAAAAGTTCTTTCTGTGAAACAAACACACCACATGAGGCTTGAATGTATAATGTTGGCTTAGTTAATAACATCTAATGGAACCATCCAGCCCAGGTGGTGAGAAATAACCTGAAAATAGATAGTTTGATGCCTCAAATTCAGTCATATGCAATATACCAGAGGATGCAAAGACAGAGTACTTTGTTGAGAATTTGGGGCTTTTATTTTACAAAAATGAAATTTTTTTTCTAAACATTAGAGAAGTGACTAATGTTCATTTTTCTAATAAATAGTTACTGATCCTAATTGTGCATATAGAACTATGCTAGATGAGACAGGGAATATGGTGATCCATAAATAAGGGCACTCTTCCTTTGAGGGATCGTAGACTTGATCGGGAGAGATGAGGGAACATGAAGGCCTACAAAACAAAAAAGTGGAAAGTCACAGGAAGGTAAATTATATCATCTGAATGGCTTAGGCAGAAATGTCTCTGAATTCAAAAGGTAAGGCAAGAGAAAAAGAAGGAGAACTAACATCGATTATGAAACTAAGCTGTTCCAGATGCTTTTAAAAATGTGTTTTTCATATAATTATCACAATAGACTTATAAGGCAGATGTGATTATTTCCTTATTTTACAGATGAAGAACACAACTGACCCCAAAGAATGCCTGACCTGCCAGAAGGTGAACAGTCCTGGCTTCCCTGTGGCTCTCACCATGGTTCACCTAAGTATTTAGTGGTAGATTTAGATTTTTGAAGCCAGGCCTTAGGCTAGAGAGGTCAGGGAAGGCTTCCTGGAAGAGGCGGGCTTGAGCTGATCAAGATAGAGAGGATGTGGGCAGGGAGAAATCAGGGTCTTTCCTGGAAGGAATCAGCATGAATCCAATAATGGAGAAAAGACTCTACACATATATTCAGTCAGAGAAGACTTAATGGTAACAGGACATTGTAGGGAAATTGTTATTGATAATGTTAGGAAGTGTAAAGCTAGGTCTGCATGAACATGAACTGATTTTGGTGAAGGGAACCACAGCACACACACACACACACACACACAAAATCACCAGTCTTTCAATCATATTGTTAGAACATAGTATCATTAATATTTAAACTCTATTTTGGATTTATTAAAATCATTTTTATTGTTAAGATTTATAGGTCACTTTAAGAAATCAGCTCCTCTCTTATTATCCATAAACATTTATTGAATTGCTCTTTGGTATAAATATGCCATGTAAACCCCAAAGCTTGCCTTGCCGTCTTACCATCCGGGTCCTCACCGCCTTTATCAGAGTATGTGGTCAAGTAAAGAAACCACTATGGATCCAGATGTGTAGGTTGCATTCTGCGGGGTTTCCAAGGGGACAGGAAATGGAGAGTAGCAACTGCATGGTCGTCTTCTCTCTGGGACATCCATAAGTTTCTAAAACCCCCCTTTGCCTGACTTCATAATATCACATTCTAAAATATTCAGGTCGCTTTTGTTGTTCTCTCCATAAAAAATTAATGATCATGAAAGTATTATCATGTTTATTTTAAAGCAACTATTTTCTACATTTTAATTAAAAGTTGTAATTCACCATCTTTTGACCAAGTTATCTTAAATCTTCATCTTATTGGTAATGGGTATTGGGCTAGATTCAGAGAGAAATACAAGCGTTACTTAATGCAAATAGTAAAATCTCAGCATTTCTGGAGATATGGTTCTGTTCATTTCATGTGCTGCGCTAACTCTGCCGTTTTAATTAGAAATATCCTCCTGCTTATGCAAGAATACTGGGAATGGGGCATTGTCTTATTCATTATGTATTCCATGAGAATCACAAGTGGACAAAACCAGGCATAATGCGATGACTGTTGTGTTATTAAAGCACTTTAATAAGGTTACTCCCTCAGTAGAGTGAGATTCTCAAATACCCATTTCTTTTTCAAGAGGTGAGCTGCATGGAGCAAGATGTATGGTGCTCCGCTGGGCATTCGTGAAGCTGCTTTCTGTGTATATTTTATGGATCTTCATGGGTATACTATCCAGACTAGTTTCCTTTTCCTTTTTAGTTCCCTGTCCTGCTTCAGGGAGTGATATCCTAGAATGTATTGGATTTTCTATTTTAGTCCTATGGTATGTAAGAGGAAATAGTTTAAACTAATGATATATTGGAGAAAGTTCTATAAACAAAGATTCGCTACAATTGGATATTTCTATGCAATGCTCTCCTACTATATTTGCCTCTGTCTACTACCCCCCCACACACACTAAAAATAAACATGTTCATTAAGATTTCAATCTCTAATCATTTTCATTAAAACAAAATCTTTCATGGTTCTAAAAGTGTCCTTTAAGAAAGAAAATGGAAGAAGTGAGGAAGGGTGGGAGGCAGGGAAGGAGGGAGGGAAGCAAAGGAGGGAGAAAGGAAGGTAGGAAGGAAGGAGAAAAGAAAGATTTTTTTTAAAGGGCCTACCCAATTGCAGCAGAGCAAAGACTTATCTATATGCATTACTTTGATTTCAAATTATTTTTAGCATGGCTTTTATTGTAGTCATTGTTACATACATAAATCTTTAAAGTAATACGTTTTGTAAGAAATGGTCATAAAAATTTACAGCCAGTAACTTTTCCCCTGTCCCTTACAATGATATTCTACTAAAACCATTAAATGGTTCTCATTAATGCCCTTTAAATGATTGTGTAATGACCCACAATCGCTTGTAAGTGAACAACCATTAAAGAATTACCAGTTCTTAGCATGCTTTTAAGTACAGCTTAAATACATGGGAGGTAACATATAATATATTAGAAAAAGTACTAAATTTGAAATAGTAAAAACATGATCATAACAAAAGAATGAGTAGGTGTGCAACTTTACCCTGCAATGACTACAGTTCCTACTGAACACATTATTACAGTAGATTTTACAGCATTTGTGCTTTTTCCATATTGAATCTTTTCCTTTTTCTCTGGGATTAAAAATAATAATAATAATAATAAAACCCTGACACAACAGGAGCGAAAGTCCAGATAAAGGCAAATGGAGAAAATAATTAAACCCATGTATAACAGATAGCAGCCTATCTAAACAAAAGTGAACAATCCATCCCCCCAGATCTTTCGTACAGAAGGGCAAATATTCATTTTTTCCCTAATCATGTGGATATTTGACATGAGATAGTCTAAGCACTTGGATGATTGCATTTTTTACACTTCAAAGTATTCTGCATCATGGGAATATGGGCAAAGATAGTAATAAATAATAACGCTTACTGAAGGTGTGAGGTCAGATTAATTCCCTGCTATTCCGGGCATGTTTTGTAGCAAGTTTACACACCCATGTAGAGCTGGGCATTTGATTTACCCTAAACTACAAATGTCAAATAAAGACTTTGGTGGTATTCATTTTTGAAGTTCTTTCACTCCTAGCAGACCTTGTTTGTACTCAACTACCCTTTATGGCGATGCCTCAATAGAACTGGGGTGCTGGGACCCGTATCTCCAAATGGAGCAAGGTGCACAGTGAGCACGGTGCCGAAGTACACAAGGGAGAAGAGAAAATCAAATTTATTAACTGCCACTTGCATCCTGCATCTGGGTTTTCTTTTTCTCTCTCTCTTTTTTTTTTTTTTTTTTAAGCATTTTACCGGGGAGAGAGGAAGTTAGGGGCATGTTAGTTTGGGAGCCCGAAAGGCACAGCCACACATTTTTCCAGGGACATTTTATTAGTAGAAACTCAAGGTTAACATTGAATATTGAACATTGAGATTATTATCAAAGAGCAGCTGGCATCTTCTTTGGCTTCCTGGATTGGTGATACCCTATGTTTTCTGCTCTTTGATAATAAGCTCTGCCTACATGTGTGGCCGTATTTTCTCAGTTGCCTCATTACAGTGCTATGAGCCAGGGCAGGGAGGAGGTTTCCTAAGTTTTAAAATGGTGAGATTAGAATCACAAAGATGCTCAGACTTGTCCACTATATCATGAAAGTCTCAGCTTAGCTCTCACTTCCCCGGGGACCCTTCCTTAATTCCGTATGGCTGTTCTTAGCATGCTTATCAAGTGCTATCATAGCAACAAAAGATCTGGAAGGGCAGGAACCATGTTGGTCCCATTCACAGCCAGGTCCTGTGAGCTTAACACAGTGCCCAGTAATGCTGGGCTCTTAAATATCACGTCATAAAACACACTCAGAAAGGTTGCACAGTAAGTTCAGATGGCCCACTAGAGCTGGATAATTCTAAATAGATTGCTATTCGAAAACAAAGCATAGTCAGACATTTACAAAATTGTTTCCTTCTGGGAACAAAACAAAGCATAGTCCAACATTTACAAAAGTGCCAGTAGAAAGTACTAAATGGAAATCTGGACTCAGGCATTCACCAGTTTCTCTTTTCTCCACCGTTTCTCCTTTCCACATCGGTCCTCTTTCCAGCAACTGCACTTCTATTATTTTCATCTCTTCCATCCCTCTCCTCCTGCCACAGATCCCCATCACACCAGTCCATAGATGTCTCTGCATTTTGAACCTTCATCATGTGATGAAAAAAAGGGAGATTTTATTCCCAGGGACTGCAGTACTAGGCATTGGTGGGTTTGTGGGCAGCACCTCCCAAGGAACCCTGAACCCTGGCAGAGTGGTGGGAAAGAGTGGGCAAAGAGCAAGGGCTTGGATTAACTTGAAGATTGGCCTAATAAAGAGCAATTCCCTTAAATAACTTATAAAATGAATCAAGCACAGAAACAAAGATGAGAAAAAGAGCAGAAAAGGAGACCCTTCATTCTCCCAGTATTTCTTGGCTCTGTGTCACCCAGTATTCACTGTTGAGGTTGGCACTTTCCCATCTCTAATTGTAGGAGCACATCCAACCTCGGAGCCTTCTTCTCTGCATGCCTGCCGGTAGCTGCCACACTGTGTGTTGCTGAAGCAGCTCCATTCAGCTCTGTGTTCTGCACAGGAGAGAAGCATATGGCCTTGACTTTTAGAAATATTCATGAGTCATGTTGCCCAGTACTGAAGCACAGCCACCTCAAGGGCAACTTTCCAACAGCTCATACTGATTTACAGCATGGAATGAAGACCAGATGAAGTCCCAGGACATTCAGAGAAGACAGAATGCGATGATGCAAGTTAGAATTTGGTCAGTATGCTGGGTTGCATGTTCCTTCTGGAAAGAGGCATGGAGTGTTGGTAGAATATCAAAGCGAGGGATCGCACTTTATGATCCTGTTTATAAATCTAAAATTCTGCTAAAACTTTCTGTAGAAAGAAGCTGAGTAGAACCGGAAGTGAGGGTTGCTCCATTCTTTAACTCCTCAGCAACATTTATCTTCTCTCAACGACAAGTCAGAACTCACCTTATTTGGTCCAGAAAATGCATACTTTAACCCCCATGCTCCTAGCAGAACACTCTTCCGGGGATAAATACTTATGCTTAATTAAAAAAAAAAAAAGACTCTGGTTTTTAGGGAACTTCTGAAAATTTTCATATTGTGGATTCTTGTTATTGTTTTGGTGGTTGTTTTTGTTTTAACATTTCTCAAAGTTTCTATGGAAATGGTCCTGACTGTGAATGTTTTTGGCTTTCTGGAAACATTTCATGTAATTTGCCAAACACCAGTTTTAAAAAAGGGCCATTAAAACAACTTGGGGGGATAAAACTACTTAGCTGTCAGGTGGTCTAAGAGTAGGCAGGCAAGATGACTCTAATAGTTTCATGATTTAGAATACAATGTACTATTTGCCCTTTGTTCCTTCTTTCTATTATAAATTAATTATTAGAGGGCTCTATCTGAGCACTTTTTTCTCACCATGTATCCTATTTCAACCTGCCCTATGTGACTGCACCTGTCTGTAATTTGGGGAACACAAATTGCAGTGGTTCAGCACTTTGTGACTCCTCTAATAAGTTAATGTCACTCCTGTCTTCTGGCACAATTCAATTCAGAAGGGCTACAATGTGTCATTAATGCATTAAAAAATGTTGTGTTTTTAGGCTGAATACTTGGAATTAGTTGGGAGCCTGATGATCCAAAACAGACTTTTTACAGTGCTTGGGAGCCTCAAGGAAGCAATTCTTGTTTAAGCATCTGCGTTATCAGAGCAGCCCAAGTACTTCAAAGGTCTGCGCAGGATGCTCAAACTAGGCACCTTGCCAAACAGAAATTGAAACACATATACGTACTACACTATTTGCCTTACAGAAATTAATTTTCAGCCAGCAGCACCTAGGATTATTTAATATTTATCTTTAGCTGCAGGAAGATGAATCTATTATTTTATGAGTTGATTTTGCTATTTTACCTGAGTGTTTCAGTCAGTCTTTCCAGTAGGAGGCACTTATGGCCTCCCCCGTCCCCCTGCTTTTCTCCCTCTTCTTGTTCCTTTAATTTTTTTAAGTATTTGGAAGCAAGCAGAGATTTCATTTGTGTCACTTGATTTTCCCCGTAGGTTCCCTGGGATCAATGATCCAAGCAAGTTTTAGGTCCAGGATTATATCAGTTGAGTGGAGTTGGTAGTGGTAAAAGGCATATAAAAAGCAGTTGTGGATTGCACGTGAGGAAACCTGAATTCTAGAGCCCCTCTCCTCCTTTGTGACCTGGGACAGTGCCTTTAACTCTACCAGAGCCTCCCTCTCATCATCTGTACCAAAGTAGTTTAGAGTCAATAGTCCCCCTAGAGCTATTTTTCCTAGCAATTTCTGCCCTTCTGAAATGCCACCAAGGCCCTATAGCTCTTCCTTCTGTTGCTAAGATTCCCAAGGATTGTGTGCTAGGTTGCTTGTTTGCACCTGTGAAGTTAAAGCACCAAGAACGGAGTATGTCACTGTGTCAAATAACAAAATGACTGATAGAGTATCCGAGGGACTTGAGTGTATAAAAAGCCACAATATTGCAAAGTACCTTGTAGATGGGAACTGTTAAATATCAATGGAGCATTGCTGTGTCTGCACTGTCAGCAGACTTCCCTGTGACCACAGTGAGAGAGATGCTAAAATGTCATTTCATGGACCACATTATGTGCTGCTTACGATGAATATTCTGGCCATGGTTTATTACATTTTTGATAAATTGTAACTTCTTGGACCCAAATTTGGTTAGCTTATCTCTAGTACTATTTAAATATCTTAAAAGACTGAATTTGCCCCAAAGATTTAATCATCATTCAGCAGTGGTCTGTAACCATGTGGTACTAATTTAAATTACTGTAGCAATGGACAAGTCTCTATCCAGAAATTAATAAATGCAATTTATAAGGAATGTTAAGTAACAACTAACAATTTAATGCTTTGTGAGTTTCAGCCAAACTGATTAAATAATTAAAACAGATTTCTAGGGATAGGGGAAGAGATTTTACCATAAAAGAGATAAACAGTTTGGGAATTGTATGCATTCTTTTAGACATTTAAGATAATTAAATCCAAAACCTATGTTAAAATAACACTAAAGGTCTGGTTTAAATCAGTAGTGGGAATTGCTAAGTTAAAAGTTGAACACCATCCTCAGTGTCTGCCCCATTGTTTTAAATAAGGCATTTGGGGACTCTCAGAACACTGGGTCAATTTGTAGAGCACACTATTGGTGGAACAATATTGGTCTCAAGCACAAATAAATGTATTCAGTGAAACTTCCTTCTTGCCATGATGTGTCTAGGCTTTTACTAAGCTAAATTGAATATTTAGAATCTTCTCAGAGCTATTTTCCAAACCGAAAATTTCTTTGTACACTATTTTCAAATTCTTATTTAAAAAAAATGGTAAAGGAATTTAGAGATCATAGCTGTTTTGATTTAATGTATAATACATGTAATATGTACATTTATGGGCTTAACACAATTCATTTTTGCAATAAATTGTTGAGTGCTTATATATGTACAGACTAGGTGTGGCTTTGTGATACAGTGATTAATAAGGCAAGAAGCACTCTGTTTTCTGATGAATAATGATTTTTGTAGGCAGTGAAACAGATGGTGGCCCCTTTGATAGAAATGACCATGGGTTACAATAGTATGTATTTTTTTAAGGATCGTTTTTTTAGAAATTTGCATAAATGGCTCAAAAAGTGTCCATCAATCATCCTTTATGTTGTATCTGCAGTTTATGAACCCCAGTAGAGAAAGACCATTTAACCACTTATGTCAGGGTCTCCCAGATTAACTGCATGAAAGCTGGAAGGTAGTATCTACAAAATGGAGTGGAAATGGGGAAAACTGTTTTAAAACCACCCTTTTGAGGGGCCATCCTGAATGCTAGCTGGTTGAATTTTCACTGAACTGGCTATCTGTTTGGGGGCCAAGTAGATGCAAATTGAAAGTGCACTAGGGTTGGAATCTATTATCTTCCAAACTGAACTTTTCAAATTTTCCTCAAAATTTACTTTTCCTTGGATGATAACCAATCATCCTGGTTTTCCTGGGACTGAAGAATTTCCCAGGATGTAAATCTTTTGGTGCTAAAACCCCCTGGGGAAACTCACATGAGTTGATTGCCCTACGTTTTAACTTCTCCTCTTACATTTGCTTTCCTGATTAATTATACTTTCACCTATTCAATCATTCTGGACTTTTCCATTTCTTTTTGGACATTCAGATTCCCACTGAGTCCCATCAAGTATTTTATTCCTCTCCCTCCTCCAATCTCTCAGTTATTGCCTTGGCCCAAGCACTAGGATGCTTTACTTGAACTGTTGAAGCAACCTCTAAACTGAACGTCCCACCTCTAGTCTTGCCCTCTCTCACTCCACTCTCACATCAACCCAGCTTCCAGTGATAATTTAAAATATCTATTCACTTTGTTAAGTCTTCAGTGTTACTTATTATACAAAATCCCAAACTATATGTAAATACAATAAGGCCCTCCATCATCTAGCTCCTGCCCAAATATCCAGCCCCATCTCCATTGGCATTTCTTCTTCTTTATACACTATACATCTTCTTCTTCCCCTTTTCTCTAGCCATCTGGATCCATCTGGGGGATCTTAGGGACAGAATATTGGTCCACTCTTCTCTACCTTTTGGTGGGAATATTTCCTTTTTTTTGGAATGCCCTTCCCAGACCCTTTTTCATCTGGCAAGCAGCTAATTATTTTTCAAGACCCAGTTGAAATATTGTATTCCTTTAAGAAATCCTTCCTGCCCTCAAGTAAAATTGACCATGACTAATTTTGCGCTAACTGTGCCTTGTGTAGTTATCATGCACCTGCAAACACATATTACAGTTGTTTGTTTAGTTGTTCATCTCCTCTTCTAGATTCTGTCCTCGTTTAGTGACGGGAACCTGATTTATTAGCATTTATTTCCAGATTTTGGTATTAGTTCTGACATAAGACAGTCACTCAAATGTTGGTGAAGTGAATGACGAGTCTCTCTCCCTGCATCATGGAATCTAGACTGAGACAGGAGGGCAATGCACGTTGGGAATCTCCAAGCACTCTGACGATGCCCTTCTCACAACCCCGGTTAAAACTTGAAGTAATTATTTACCTGTTCATGATTTTACTATTATCTATTTGTTCATGTTGTAACTTCCAAAAGCAAATTTTATGTCTGTATGTTAAATACATGTTGTTGTAAATCATTTTCCAGCCCCCCCCATACTATATTAGCTTTGATTCAATTCTGACAGACACTGGTGGCTAACATCCATTTCCCTGCCCACCCCACGTGTTTATCCATCCAAACAGAACCTCGTTTGTTCCGGGGTCCACTGTGCTCTGCAAACCATGTACTCCTCAAGAGCTCACCTCTCTTCCCAAGGGAGGCTCCTGATTGTTCTAAGGCAATCATGGTAGCTCTGTTCCCCAGTGCTACCGGAAAATGCTGTGACATTTGGGCCTGTGACACAATTCTGGCCAATGAGATATAAGACAAGTCTGTTGGGTCTTTTGGAAAGGTTCCCTCTCGTAAGAAATGTCTCCAGGAAGAAATGCTGCCTTGTTTTCTGGGCATGACACCTGAAACTACTGCAGGCATCTCGGAACACTCTAGGAGACCAGTCTTTGGATAAAGTCACCACTGAGCCCAGGACAGCAGAAAAATAGGAGGAACCCAATCTTGATGCCATTATGGAGTCTCTGATCTTGCTCAGCTGGTGCCCTCCATCTCCTCCTTCTAGACTTGTGATTATATAACATGTGGCTGAAAGTCTCACACTGACAGTGACAGGCTTAGCATTATAATCTGAGAGAGCCAGAGCCATCATATGGCACTTGAAAGGTCAGAATAAAAATGCTTAAAGTACACTTGGAATGAAGACAGAATTCACAATGACCACCAGAAGTAGATTCTAATTCTGTCATTTGTTTGATAAATATGCTGAATGAATCAATCAATGAATGAACATTCTGTTCAAGGAATTATACTAACTGCTTCTAAGGAACACACACTCTAAGCAGTCACAGCCCTTCCCGTATGAGCTAATGGTGTGACTAGTGAGCTAGGGCACTGACCTGAATTACTATGCAATAAAGAAGAAAGTAATGGATATTAGAGTAGTGATAATGACAGAACATTTATTGAGCAATTTCTATGCACCAGACACTGTTCTGAGTCCTTCCCAAGGACTTTTTTTGCATCAAGTATATTTTCCTCCTAGACTACTTCACAGCCTAAAAATACGTATACACAAGGATGCTATACTCTCTCATTCTGGGAGAAAGAACCATTCTCTTTTTGGATTGTGTTTTCCTCTCAAGATACAACCTTATTTCTCTTTACTTTCACCATTTTTTATTAGTAAACTTAATTTTTAGAGCAATTTTATGTTCATAGCAAAATTGAGGAGAAAATAGAGAGTTCATGTGTACCCCATGGCCGCACATGGACAACCTCCACCACCATAGGTGTCCTGCACCACAGTAGCACATTTGTTACAATCCATGAGCCAGCACTACTATGTCATTCTCACCCAAAGTCCCACAGTTTACATTAGGGCTCACTGTTGGTGTTGTACATTCTGTCGGTTTTGACATGTATCCACCACTGTAGTAGTATACAGAAGTTTCTAAAAATCTTATGTGCTCTGGTGCTCTGCCTACCTATCCCTCTCTCTCTCTCTTCACCAAGGTTTTTGAAAAAATTAATAAATGATGCCTTCTGCAAGCCTTTGATTCTTCATATCACATTAGTTCTTTGGTCCACTGCACTTAATTTTATTCCCCTCACTTGCTGAAACTTCCTTAATAAAAGGTCACCAGTGGACCATGATGCTGGCACTTCAGTGACCATGCTCCTGCTGGTTATTTCTTCTGTCCTCCCCTCATTAGCGACAGCATCTACCCGGTCTACCCAAGCCAGGAACCTCTGGCTCATCCCTCAGTGTCACCTCTCCCTCTCCCTCGCTTGGTACCTCACGTGTTACTTCACAATTTCCTATTGCATAAATTTCTCTCCAAGACAAACTCCTTTTCCTGCCTTACCTTAGGCTCCCATCTCCTTTCCTCTAGGCTGCTGTATAAACCCAGCTGATCCTCATGCCAACCTATTCCCCGTAGTGATGTCAGAGTAGCTTTCTATGACATCATTCTCTTCCTGGGACTCCCAATTTGAAATGCTTTAAAGCATCTTTTGCCTGCAGAATAGCGTCTAAACTCCTCGGGTGGGCCCGTGATTGTCTTCACAATCCTGAAAAGGTGCTGCCTTCAGTGTGGAACCTCAGCCACTCCCCCTCCGTGCTCTCTCCTCCACCAGGACTGAAACAGCCTGTGCCCTGAGCACAAGGAACTTCTACTACCCCTGGGGCGCATTGCAAATGTGTCCTGCTCTCCTATCAATTCTCCCAAGGCACTCTAACAAACCTCCTTCATTAAAGTTATTGTGTTATTTTGTTTTAGTTGTGCCTAACCACTTCTCAAAAGTGAGCTTTTTGACACAGGGAACTGTGTAACATTCATGCCAGTATCCTTTGTACCTGGTTCAGTGTCTAGTACTTAATAACCACTTCTCAAACTAAGGCAATTGTGGTGGTGTCGACAGAGGGTGACAGAAGCTCTGAGAGGGAGTAGTTGGCAGGGGAGTTTCATTCATTTGTTCATTCATTCATTCACTCAACAAAAATGTATAGAGTACTTACAATAAGCCAGGCACTCTTCTAGGCACTGGACATAAGAGTGAAAAAACAGATGAATAGCTTATACTTGTGGGGCTTAGCATTCTATTCTAATGGGAGAAGACAGAAATAGTGAGTTTGGCAAAGAACGGGTACCATGCATGTGTGAAAAGGTTGAGTATAAGACACAGGGAGTGGTGAGGGCCAGTGATGAACTGGGCAGTCCCAGACTCACCCAAAGGCATTTATGTGAACTCACATAAAAACAACATCTGTAACAGCAGCTACACATTTCCTGGCTCACTAAACATATGTTGGGGCCATATTTGACCAGTGGACAGCCCCTTACGGTCCTTGTTACAAAGACAGCTTTGTTCGAGGTCCTGTGTGAGAAGAAGGAAGAGGCAATGAGTCCTTGAACCTTAGCAGAATCTCCTTAGTGGCCTTAAGAACAGCACCTCACTTCCCTCACTTCGTCCTACCCTCTTTGTCATGTGCTTGCAGCTTTCTGATATTTTCTCAGCAGCCACAGAACTGTCCTGGGAAAGTGGTCTGCTTGTACTGGAAAGAGTAGCTGTGCTTGGCACCACATGTACTCGCCATCAAATCGGTACTGACTGATCAACACTTAGGTGCTCACCTGGAAGTAATATTCGTCGAGTGCCGGGCGGGTGAGGCAGGTGGGTAAACTCACAACTAATGGGTGTGGAGTGCACTGTATGGAGGATGGGCACGCTTGTATCCCTGGCTTGGGTGAGGCAAAGGCATTATATGTAACCAAAATGTTTGTACACCCATAATATTGTGAAATAAATAAATAAAAGAGTCAAAATTTAAAAAAAAAGAATAGCTGTGGTTGGGAATTGAAGGCTTAGCAATGAGAGCTCAAAGGGGGCAAAAAGAGGTCGGGCTCTCTCTTACCAGGTACAGAAGTTTCAGTATATTACAAATAACTTCTCCAATCATCCTTTTTAAGGGATAGGAGAACAAAGAAGTATTACATACCATTAATATGTATACATATGACTAGATAGCAGAAAAATAAAATTGTAAATAATATTTTAAAGTTGAAAAGATGCTTAAAGATCATCCTAGATTAACCCCCTTGTACACAGACAAGGAAACAAAAGTTCAGGAATTAGTAACTTACCCGAAGTTGTGTACCTGAATGTATTAAAATAGTGTTAATACCTGGCTGTCTACTTCTCCCCCATGTAAGTAATCAAGGATTTTGAACAATAGAAATGGATTAAGGTCCCTGACCAGCAAAATATGTTTTTCTAAATATCTGCGACCTAAATAACCAACTATTGATGAGAAAGAGAGCTATGGCAGAGGTAGCTGGAGATGGATTTTGGTTGATATGAAGATGTGAGGATGGTGCGTGAAATATACTTAACACCAGCCTGAATATTAAAACCAGAGGCTTGTGGAATTATAAGTTCTGATAGTGTGTGGGAGAGCAGTATTGTTTATCTATTAATTCATTGATTCACACGTTCATTCATTTCCTCATTCACAAATACTGGACCCTCACTACGAAGCACTTGTGAACTAAGTGCTAGGGAGGACACACAATGCCACAAAATGCTCTTCCCTCGCTGGGCTCAAAGAGGCTTGCAATCCCAGGCAGGAGCCAGACGTGCAGGCACACCGTCACAGTGCCCTGTGACATGCGAACATTTATGCTATTCCCGAATAAAGGGAGCGCCCACCTGCACTCTGAAGGCAGTTTGTCCAAGTCAAGCGCCATGTTAAAAATACTTTACTGCACCCCAACGGGGCCGTCTGTGCACTAATAATCCTCTGAAGAATCTCCCTCTAGCAAAAATAACCAGCTTAGAAGACATCAGGAAGAGGTTTTCTGCTTCTTTTGAAGCTGTAATGCCCTCCAAGTGACGTACTCTGTGTTTCTGTTATCCTATTCCCAGAAGGACCAAGGCTCCTGAGTCATAAGATGGCAGTCATTCTCTGCAGCCATTGGCTCCCGAGGAGCAGACATTTCCATAGTCTGCAAAAGGAAGAATTAGCCGCCTGCTTGAATCGACCGTATGTGTGTTGGTTGAGAGTTGTTACTAGACGTACCCCTGACAAGAGCTGAGTTGCCCAGCCAGCCTCCCTTTATCAGATGGGCCAGTGCCAATCATCATTGTTCTCGCAAGGTGATAGCGGGAGTTGTTCCCCGTTAGAAGATGGTGGCATTCTGGGAGGGTCACTGTGGTGTTAAGATGCATAGCATTTGTCAGGTTTGCCTAGGACTTCTGGAGGTTTAGTTATGAAACTTGTTAATTGAGCTATAAATATAGCTGCAGCCTTTGCCTTCCAGTAAGGCAGTGTGTTAATTTGGGTTTGGCAGGGGGGTGGTGCAAGCTGCCAATGTTATGTTAGGATTAGTAACGTGCAGCACATTTTAACTCCGCTTCCCCATGCGCCACGCTTTCCTCCTCTGTTTGTTATCTTTGTGAGGGAAGGGAGAGGAAGAGAAAGCAAGCTCATCATCCCCGGCATCTTACGTTAGGGATGTTTATCTGGGGGGCTGCTTTTCACCCTACAGGTCTCCAAGTAGACAGAGTTAGAAAGATAAATGAATAAAGCCATGTGCTCTAACTAACCCAGAGGGCTCAGCCGCAGTCTTCTGCCCGAGATTAACGTAACCACAGTTGCGAACAGGGTTGCATTTGCTCTTGCTCCCTCCCAAGAACCCCTTCCTGTATTCAAGATATTTCTCTGTATTTTAAGGTGGAAGTGATAATAGTAAATATATGTTATCGTTTTTTCTTACCCACATGGAATTACATGTGCAACAGAGTGAATTTGTTTGCTCATTTGCTTGTTTTTTCCTCAAATAGTTATTAAAGGGTGGATGTGTCACTTACTCATCTAACTGAGAAAATATGTGAAGATTTTAAACTACACACAAGAGCAACTTCAGTTGCATGCTTTGTGCTCATAGAGGAAAGAAAGGAGCAGCTGATGAAGTAGTTATGTGTATGCCTGTTTAGATATACTTGATAAGTACGAGTCGAATGAATGAATGAATGAATGAAATGAATGAATGAGTGGGTAGATCTCAATCAGTTTTGAAAGAGTGGCCTTTGCAGATTAACCAGACAGCATGTCTGCTCTCTTTTCTTAAAATATCCATCAGTGACCTGGAAATAAATTGGCAAAATGTGGAATCCTGTTTGTTGGCAATGTGGTACAGGAAAGAACTAACTTCCAATGGAATAGCACTGAACATTTAATTCCTTTTTTCTAAAGCACCTGGCTCTAGTAGAAATATGAAAAAATGTAGAAGCCTAACATCCTGTGTGGGTCTCTCTGGAGACAGTGCTGATTGCCGTTCTCTGGTTATGAAATGTTACAGAGGGATCAGCTTGAACTAAATATTCTTTGTTTTTCATTCAGTTTTCACCTTCTTGGGCATGTCTCTCACCTCTGATAAGTAGAATTTTCCACTCCTTTTTGTTTTGTTTTGTTTTGTTTTGTATAATTAGAGCCCTATGTCTTTCTTCCTTGTCGAGGTGAACTCTAGAAATGAAGATGTTATATCATGAACACAGAAATGTGCCCAACTCTAATAAAGATTGTATTAATTTTTCTTTTACAATGAAACTGTAGCCTGTCTCAACTACACCAGCTGTTAATTGTATTTTCCTTAAGTCCTTTTGATATTCACTTGAAATGCATTTTATAACCCATCTGGTAACCTTGCTGCTAACCAACAATTACAGTCTGACATTTGAATACAAAGAATTTGGGACAAGCCACAGTTGTACATGGAAACTTTTAAAACAATGTCTCCCTTAATATATTCTTTACTAAAAAACATTGTGAAGAAATGATTATAGCTTCACTAAATTCTGACAGGATGAAAAAAAATGGCTGTTCATTCTTTGAAAATTTGTACCAACTTAGTGATTGTGAATTGAGAGAACAACAATAATCAAACAGCCACAGACTATGCCAGGCAGTCAACCTTTCCTCCACTCCACCCTGTTCACAAATTTGACACAGCCTTGACCAATATTAATTCCAACTGCTTGAGGTGGACAGTGAGTGGGTACTATTCGCAATGTGGTTACTTTGGAGACTGAAGAATCTGGAATCCAATTGATGGGATTATTAGAGTCTGGAGCAGGCTGCTATGGGCAGTTGTGGGTTTTTGTACTTAGGCACCAGGCCGAGTAGGCAAGAGCGGGCTGGAATCTAGCCCTAGTGCTGCTTGCCAAGCTTTGCCCCAGCCTGGGGCTGCCTCGGCAGGGAGGAGAGGGCCTTTCTGCAATTCATCTGCCAGGGTGGCGTGCCTTTTTGTAACTTGCACAAAGATGCAGTGTGTGCTAGAGGTGGCCTTGGCTGGCAATAACTGCTGAGGGGGACCTCGTCTTCCCCATCACTACTGTGTCTCTGAAATACTCCTGGGCTCTACCAGTCCCTTCATTCACTCACCTCTTGGCCCCCATTAGTACAAGGAGGAATGAGTCATCTGATGGGGGAGGGAGGTGGATCTTGAAGGAGAAACAAAACCTACATAGCTCTGCCCCTTCTTCTGTCTCTCCCTGGGAAAGCAGCTGCCCACAGGGAGCACACATCCTCCAGGTGGATGTGGGAAGCGAGGAAGGGAGGCGGGAGAGGCCCGACCCAGTCCTGCAATCTTGGAAAGAGACTATCTAATTCTAGGAAGCTCAGCTGCCTATTGTCCCCAACCTTATTTTCTTCAGTAAGGTTATAATTTGGCCCCCATCTGCTCACTCCTTCATCTTATTTATTTATTTATTTTTGAGACAGGATCTCACTCTGTTGTCCAAGCTGGAGTGTAGTGGTTCTAGTATAGCTCACTCCAGCCTTGAACTCCTGGGCTCAAGGGATCCGCCCACCTCAGCCTCCCAAGTGTCTGGGCCTACAGGGGTGAGCCACCGTGCCTGGCCTATCTTATTTTTTCAGTTGGTTTACAATTCGGGAACAGGGTTGCTATTTATTGGCTCCCAAGAAAATCTTACAGAACATATAATTCCCCATTTCCCCCCACACCCACACTTATAGCAGGCCTGTTCT